TGAAGTATTGTCATCCAAAGAACACAGACGTCTAGACCGTTTTGTGCAATCGATCGAAGACAAACAGGTGGAACGTAAACGTCAAACACTACAAAAAAAAGAGAATGATAATGGAATATTTTAGCCACGTTCGCAGTTAGGATAGAAGTGCCATAAATCGAGAGAGGTAAAGGCTTCAAAAAGGGAATAAGTTTTGTTATAATCAGTAGTATATCGGGGATTTGAAAAACCTTCTAAGAACCATACGACCGCTTTCGCAGTCCTTGCCGCTCAGGTATTCGTATCCGGTAATCTTTTTGTCTGATCCTTCTTATAATTGAACTCCCCATGTGAATAGGGCACCTCAATTCTCAGCTCGATAAGTTGATTCGAAAAGTATTGTATTACATGTCGGTGCGACGAGCGTTACCTATGTGCGATGTTCAGATCTTCCATATACACGGTGGAAAATTTACTTCCACCGGATACGCCCGAATCGCATAATTCCCAGGGTTTACTATTCAACCCCAACTATCTACCACTGGTGATAGTCGACCGATTTTAGTTGTCATCACTGGTTTGTTTTGGGCTCTGAGGTTCCAGGTTCAAGTTTTGCCATCGCTACCCAACCTTGGTGGTAGACAGTTTCGCTGTCGTCCGGCTCAATATCACATCTATTTTGACGGGGTCTCATGTGATTCGCCACTCCGAGTACCAGAACTCAGAATGTGTCTACCTGGTCTTTATGGTCACGAGTTTTACACATTTTTCATACAAAGTTATGTAATTCCACTGATTGCTAGACGTCTGAGTGTGACCAGCTGAACGGTGAAACGCCCAGACTAGCTAACATTATAAGCCGATTTCCGAGATGAATCGATCAGCTAGTTTATTCTGTAGTATTGTTTGCACTGGCTGTGTCGGAATTGCCAAATTGCCTTCTTTTTTATTGCCACTTTATTTATCACATTTCTCTACCACATTTGTTAGCCGGTAGTCACACTGACATTCCATCCTGTTTTATTAAATCACGATANCGATACCCCCCCCCCTGCCACGAGCTAGGTTTGATGTTATGCTATGCTTTATTGCTCAGATTAATCGATCCTTCACATGAGAAATTTTCACTTTAATTACTGCAAGATTATTCATTCGTTTCATCAGACAAACTGAAGCATAAAAGTACGATGAGCATGTGGAGTTAACTCTATTCTGTAGGCTTACGTAGTGTGTGAATGATCTAATCGGACCGGTACTTTTTATCCCCTACTGTCGTGGACTTTTACGAAGTTAGAACCTAGACTGTTCGGATCGAAATTCCGTAGATTACAGACTAAAGGGACTTCTGCATAAAAATCAATGAAAGTTTTGCGGTGGTAGGTTGTCCTCTTGATTTCAGCACTGCCGGCAATCACAGGGTTTTATAAAATAGAAGCGAAGGAGCCTAGATACTCGCAGAAATCACCCCGGTGTCCGCTGAACTTGCGTAGAATTGACCAATCTGGTAAAGCTGCGTTTTTCCGCTCGCCATATTAAGTAAATCTCCATTAAGTTTCTCATTAGACTATATCGAATTTCTGGTGTTCCCCATAGCTCCCTGCTCGTCCATACCTAACTCAATCTCGAATCCACTACCACTACACGATCGGGATCCATTAAACAACATGTTGCCCGCTCCACAAGGTCCTCCATGCTGTCCGACTGATTGCTGCGTACATCGTTCGAGTCGCCTTGTAAGTACCATGGTACAGACTACCAGTGAGTATTTGGAGCCCCAGTCAATAGACTCCACAATTGAATCCACCGGGGGCGGAAATGTGACAACTTTGACAACCGGAACGCGTTCCACATTGCCAGACAAAACTTTGTCTCAAAAATCAGCCACCTTGCACGAGGAACGAACTCTGAATCCGATTGAGTTGCATTTCCGAAATTTGACTACCAGGTAATCTTACAATTAAATGATCAGTTGCTTTTTGTCTACGCGGTCAGTACAGCTCCACTTTATTGGCATACATGGTTATGTTCTCCCCACAATCCTACCTCAAATCGTTAACGCTCACTCCACCTTAGATCTCCTTACTGCATTGTGTAAACTTTGACCAAAATCAATCATGTGACAGGAGTATAACATATACAGTTAGTAATTGTGGATAGGGTTCGAAAATCGTTTTAACAAAATACTGATAAAACAGCATGATCACCTTTGGGTAGTTGAAAGAATAATGTGGTGATAGAAAAAGAGTCGAACGTTAGTGTGTAGTGCTGGCAGATCTCATCGATTGTTCGATGAACGTAACAGTCCATTTCTAATCGCCGATGTACCACAGTACACTTCTTCAGTTGGTCCACTTTTATTAACTTGCAATGGCCGTATCAAATATCATGGAAGTAAATGAAAGCTATCGGGGCTGATATCCATTGGCTCATCTCGACTGCTTGTCTGTTTTGGAAAGGACTTTTATTGGACTCATCAGGTGTGTGTATGTGTGTGTGTGTGTGTGTGTGTAGTTCATTTCAGCCGGTAAATTTGATGTAAACCAAGCACATGCAAAAATGAAACAACTGGCCACAATTTATCTGTTTCCGGTTCACATAGTTACGGTCTCTGGTATTTCTTTTTATCCTCTTCAATTGGTATGATTGCATGGAGCTTCGAAGGCCCTGCGCTTACTTTACCCATGCTTGTTTCTGTACCCTAGTAGCACCAGTCTCACTGACGTAGCCAATGTTCAAGGCGATTCTTCAATCTCTCAAACACCCAATGCACCAACTGGGTAAGACTTCTTTTCTGCTCCTGTTTGATCATGCAACGCTCCTAGTAGGAGAAGTTCGGCATTCCTCGTAATCATCGCTTTTTCTTATTGCCATTCCTGTATTTGTTGTCATTCAGCATCAGAGTTATTTATCCACATGTGTTTCAGCTCCACGATCATCCATTCTCGGGCAAATAATTTTTGTACTAGAATGAACGTGTCCTATCTTCCTGCTCATTGATGATCACAAGCGAACCCTAGTTATCGGTTTCCGATCATTCAGGTATTATTATTTGGCACAGGTTTATATCGGTATTTTGCAAGCAAAAGCCAATTTCTAAACGGCACGTAGGCTGGCGTAACGTAAGAACAAGAAACTGTTTGCTCTAGCAATAATATGGTTTCGCTGAGAGTCGGTTTAAGACGTGTATCCTTCGGTTTAGACTGAATGTTGGGTACTGTTCATAAATTGGGTGCTCAGTTCGGTTGGTAAAGAGATAAGTAGATAACTTAATTGATTTTCTTTCCACAACGAATTTCCTATGTGGATAGTTTAAAAAAACCTAGTAACTTAGATTTATTATTTCTATGTTTAATGTTAGTTGATTGGATAGTGTCTTCTTTTTTTAACGACAACTTATCGAGTACCTTGAGTGAACTAATGTATGGGCGAGTCCCGAAGCATTTATACTCCTGACAGTTGAGACCGGTTATTGGCGTTTTACGCTTTCCAACAGGAAAATGTTCCGATTGCAACGGTATCTTCTCGGTGCGGTCAGCGCTGTGAAGTCTGCAACAAAGGCAAAAAGTACGTCCAGTTTGTTCTCATACATCGTCTTTCGTGCTTTCAATACTTCGACGGCAGTGACTGATGATGTTGACGATAATGATGATGAATTCGTCACCTATCGGTTCTCAGGTGTTACAATTCATCTTATTTGGTAGTGGTGTTTTCTATGAAGACAAGCCGCGTGAAATCACGATTTGCATACTTTTCTCACAAAACCTGCTTCCTTCAGTCTGAATGAGATTGTTAAATAATTCACTTTCAGTTTTCACAACCATTAAACGTGTGTTTTCATGCGCCAGTTTTGACTACTGTCTTCTGGATGCCCATTTGGATAAAACAGCAAAATGAACATTGGAAAGTTGAAAGCAGAATCAAAATGAAGATAGAGAATTCATAGATACTGGGGTTACAAGAATACTGAGTGGATGCATGGGCACCACTGTTTGAGACACCCAAACATATCACTTAGTGTCTCTACCTATCGGCAACCATGATCTCGGGGTCCCCAGCCAGGGAGCCGAACCGGACCTGTGTGACCAAGTCTCCTGGTTAGGGTTTTCATACCTTCGCGCCAGGTCCCAGTTTAAACGCCCTTGGCTTTTTTCCAACCGCTTTCTGTCTCGGAAAACATCTTGCTCCACGGCAACGTATTTAGTGACATGCGCAATACATGTCCCAATCAGCGTAATCTATGGTGGTCGACCATTTGTTCTAGTGGACAACTGCGATTACCTAAAACGCTGCGCCTAACCTCAGCATTATTTGTCCAGTTTACCCACCAGATTCGTGCGATGCGGCGTAGATAACGGTGTTCAAATACCAACAGTCTATCTTTATCCTGTTCCTGTAATCGCCAAATGTTAAATAATTTCCGGTGGGTTTCTCAATAAATCGTTCGCGCTTTATTCAAAATATGTCAATTTTTATTCGCTTGCAGCAAATAGATAATCCGAAACACCGGATGACGTTGTGGATCTGCTACCTCAATTCAGGCAGCTTTTAGTCTGTAATGTCGGAGCCTTGGACACACGAACCTGTATTTCTGTTCTACATCCTCTGAATTGTCTATAGAGTGCACCAGTACATATTAGTAATTGTTTTCAAACAAAACTTAGTGACTTTCTCCGGATTTTCTGGGGTCCATAAACTCAGATTTTGTGCAGTGACAAAACTGCAGTGGAATTTACTATAGCTTTGTGGATACTCACTTAATTTAGTGACGGCTATTCTCCACCTGATACTACTCTTAGACTTTAGTTTCTGGTGCAATCTGTTTTTATTTATACATAATGTTAGTTTGTCGGTTAGGCGTTGACATAGCGTCCGTTACCTTTGTTCGCTGTTGGGAATAGTGTGTCAGGTGTTTGAGCGGACTCCAAATGCCGAGGTTCAACTCGTGACACCGCCACCCAAACTTGATGATTACCAACTTCTTTGTCGTTCGGCTCAGTACCACCCCTATCCTCATATGATTTACCATTCCAGGACTTGGGTTGTGTGCATCTTGAAACGACAATAGGCTCTCATCGACATGATATTTCCTCCTCTCCTAATGTTTATCACACAATAGTATGCTGGAAGAAAATACATCGCCGACTGTGTTGTTACCAATCTGCTCCCAGTTTGTTTGGCGAATAAACCACACATCGGTTGGTTTCTACAAATCACTCGGGCTTCCGATCCTACCATCTAACTTATCGTATTGAGATAGTCGTATAGTTCTAGTTGTGATTTGGTAAACGGTTGGAGGGACTCATCTGTCGTGATATCCATCGTGTGTTGTGTCGCTCTCCCCATTGATTACACACAGGCATTTGTTGTAATTCGATCAGGTGGCTATGGATCACGATTAGTTTCTTAGGCGCAGTATTACTAATATAATTGTTGTTTTATTTTGACCATCGATTTTCCCTCTATGGGGTAGTGCGTTGTTGTTTGAAGAATTATTTCAAGTCTAAGTTTAGAAGCAGCTTAAGATATTCAAATTTCATATTGCTGACCTGTTGTGAACCGTATTACTTCTCATGGAAGCACACAAAAAGTAGACACCAAGCACAGCCCCGACAAAGGACGGAGTGAATCCAACACGAATTAACACAAAACACAAGTGGTACTCAGTATTGGTGGATGAGAACACAAATTTAACACTCACTGACGGCGTGCACGATATCACTGCATGAGAGATCACGCGTAGATACGAGGCAAGTTAGTACAACAGAGCACGTAGTCCAGTGGCTATGGTAGTCGTCTAGCCCCAGAACACACGCCACTTGTATCGGTATCCCTCTTCCCGGTTACCAACGTGAAAACACAGACGGCGAGGAACGCATCTGCACAGGATACACAAAAAGCAAGTCGGAATTGCTGCTGTTATGCGCAACGGCATTCCGAGTTTATGATGTTATATGGCTTGTCACCTGTTAGCTAAGAGATACACTCGGGCAGACATTCAATACACGAGTACCCGTGATCTATCGCCGAGACCGGATACTCCATACAGGAATGCTAACACGACCAATCATCTGTGCTCTCCTGGGGATCACTGAGGGGCAATGCATGTGGTATTCCAGAAGACCTTTACGATGAATCTGCAAGGTACAGAAAACAAACCAACATGAACCAGAGGTCCAGTAAGGTATGGACACAACTCGCAACCAAATCAAAATAGCCCTGCTACGGCTGCACATTGCACAACGTCAACTCTTCTGCTTATATACTATTCCGGTTCCTGAGACGTTGAAAATTGATGAGAAAAATGAGAAAATTCACAAAATAGATACTGATTCTCAGCCAGAAAATGGGACCAAACGGAAAGGCCACAAATGATGCGAAAAAGATTTATTATGTACAAAGTGCTTTTTAAAATACTGGAAAATGAGACAGTAAAATAACATTTTTAGTCTAGCATGATTCAGTCGACCAGTGTATTGGTACTAGACAGTTATTAAAACACTGATTACTCCATATGACCACATTTTATCTTAAATCCTACCCAAAGAAGGTATCCTTTTTTTAGTAGTATATGAATGACTGGACAGAAGCTGTCCTCTAACTTTCCACTGTCTAACACCAATGCTCGTTTTTTTCAGTTCACCGTGTTGGTTTCTGTTACCCAGTAATGAATGGCAAATATCCCACCCCACGAAATGTTGGTAATGAGACCCATTCGAATGCTACTACTAATGTAAAATCCGCCGCTGTGGTGACCTCTCTTTATCTCTCTCCAAGCATAAAACTCAATTAGTCTATAGTGTTTGTTTGAAACCGTCGACGAATGCTTCGGATAGGTAACAAATTTAGTTTGCTCACAAAATTATTCAATCTGTTATTTTGTTGTTTTCACTCTAATCGCACGTTCCTCGCAGTCTTCAACCAGGACGAGGAAAGTTCCGATGAAGATGAGGAGGTTATTGGAAATCAAGGCATTCGAGTAAGTCAACAAAGCAAAACTGCATTGAAAATTCCACGTATTAGGCCTTTCTTCAGCGGCAGTCTCACCAAGTATGTAGCCTATCCTGATGATCGAAAGAAGACATGTCACAAGAGGCCAGCAATTGTTGCACTGACTAACGTTAAACAAACGGGCACAGTTGACTGGTAAATCCTAATCTTATGAGGTTCTATTCAAATTAGTGAGCAGTGTGCGTGCACCAGGAAGCGGTAGTTGGAGTCCTGATAGGGACACAAAAAGTTCACGCACTGCTGACAAGTCCCGAACAGGACGAAACAGTTGTCCCGTGCTCCTCATCTGTCATATCAACTATTTCCTATGCTGTTCTCTGAATCCGTGACTCTCCGCGACTAGAAAAGGAATTATTACGCTCATACGTGGACTTATGCAAATAAAGAAGTATGAATAAAGTTAGAAACATAAGGTCAACTCCAAGGTCGGTGAATTGTTTATATCAATGATTTTTAGTTACGCGAAAAGACATGACGTAATCAGATTAGTTATGTTTCACCAACTGTCAAACGTTTTGCAATGAGATTACGTAACAATGGTGTAAAGAAAGAAAACAGAAACAGAAACTGTGAGTTTTTGCTGTCGTATCGTCTTTTGTCACAAATGTCACCAAGATCCTTATGACCGCATGATTATCGGATTTCGATTGTGTCATGGACTTCGTCATCCAATTCACATTATGTTCGCCCAGTGATGTTATGAAAGCTGACGGTTTACTTTGTCTATGTAGGCGTCACCACAATTGTGGGTAGACTGATGCACAGTGTGGGACAGAACTGGCTTGCCAATGATAGTAACAGTTGTCCAAATCAATACCACTAGACATTACGTCTAATTTGGACAGCTGGAAATGTGCGGTCTATAATTGACTTCAATTTATGATACATATTCTTCAACAGGTGGTCGCCTTTGCAGCTAGTTTGAGATAGACAGTGTTTGTTTTGGGTTCAGTTATAGATGGCTTACCGTTTTTATTGTTTATTGTGGATACCACTTAGCTTTTTGATCGACTATTTTACAATAGCGTTTCCCCTAGGAATTCTCTATCGCGCAGTGTGTATGTAGAACAAGTTTAATTAGACACGAAATCAACTAATTCGCGAAGGGGCTCATTGATGAGAAGCCAACGCGCATCTTTCTTCATTTTTATTGTCACGTTTTTTATCAGTTCAGAATAATCTTTCAAAGAATGAGGTGTTACAGATTTACGTGTGAGGAGCATAGAATATCCTCCAGTCAGTGGTGATGCGGTGAATTTCACATACGTGAACTTAGTCTGAGTGGAGTTAGAAGCTTATGAACGTTTGAGGAACCTCTCATTCGTGATGTGTTATTATGTTTTGACACAAGTCTGAATCTAAACTGTGTGCCAAACAAATCATGGTACAGTAATCTTTATAAAAAAAGGCGTTCCATGATTGGCTTGTGGGCTGAATACTGCCAGGTTGCCCAGGCCAAGGCAGGTGAATTTTCTTGAGGAATCCACAACCGGAGCCTTTTGCTAACCAAATCCTGACCCACAAGGCAGCGGGGCGGTGTGTGAAATCCGCAATCCGTTGGGCCGGCCAGTGTTCAGTTCATCGGATCATACGCCCTTTGAAAGGGGTCAAACATACAAAACGCCCAATAGAGCCGGTGACCACTGCCACAACCGGAAAGGTGTGGTTGTGGTTCGTACGCCTCCTCTTGGTTGGTTTGGAATCAAGGATTTTGGCCAACTCCCCTAGTTAACCTATCAGTGGTCCACCAACCCGATTATAGCGGGAAAACACCACCAGCAGAAGGCAGTGAGTAGGGCTTCCTCAGCAGAGGCTCTTTGGGACGCTTGGTCGTATGGGAGCATTTCGCGAGGTGCAAGAGAAGGGTGATCAGCTGCAGCCCTAGACCCTAACCCCGACCATACTGAGGTTTTTGTAATGGTTCTCTCCTTATTGGCCGCGGATGTTAGTAGTGGGTCTCAGATGTTTAGCCATGTAGTAACAAAATCTGTAGTTTTTTACGATCAGGTCTGCACCATATGTTCGGTTTGCGGAATCCGGCCTGCCACACACTGCAGTTCTTTGATTGGTGTTTGAAATTAAGATAGCCTTGCTGTCGAATTGGTACCTCAAGGTACTATGGAGAAGAACTTATCAACGTTTCTCATAATCACCGGGCTTATTAGACGTCTGCCTCCGTTCGAAGGGCGTATGATCCGATGAACTGGACACGGGCTCCC